ACCATGCTCAGCTCAACAATATGCATTTTAATAGACTTTGAGGCAACTTTGATACATGACACGGTTTCAGAATTACTGTCTAGGTCACACATATCATTTGGAGAGGAGAATTTCTTGCTGCTACTTTCATTTCAAAGCAAAATATGCCTCTTACTTTTACATAGAAAGCTTAAAAGATACATAAAAATGGATGAAGGGAGAAACTCCACAATCCCTTACTGCTGTAATCAATATATTTCCTTATAGTATTTTTCCTATGCATCATTTTTTGTTTGTTTTTGTATCCTTTTGCTAATACAAGCTATACATTTATAACTTCATTTCTAAATTGCTAGTTCTTGACACTGAATGCAGAGAAAGTTATCACCTGGCTCTCCAAGGAAGGGACTCTGATCATCAAATGGGTGATTACCCTCTTGGCTATTATACAGCAAGTGAGCCATCCCTCCTAAGTAGCCATGAAGACTACTGAAGGTATCCCAGAAAATGTTAGTGCTGTAAGGGCGCCTGACTTGACCAATGGGAAGAAGCCCTATCTTTGAGGGTAAGAGCTTTGAAAGCTAATGAAACTCCCTGTTTGTGTCTTACACTGCACCCCCTATCACCAAGAAGAACCAACCAGTCTGAAATGGAGTAATGCCTAAGAATTGATTTCCTTCCGGTCTCTGCTTAAATGCTGCCTCAGTGAAGCCCTCTTGCAAGTCATACCACACATACAGAAGTATCATGCTTTGTCTAGCACGCATGTTTGCCAGCGAGAGCCTTCACAGATGTTGGGCTGCAGCAGTCATCTGAGCTGCTCATCAGATCATTCTGTTTCACCACTTTCCGGGCATGTGGTAGGGTTACACTTGCCTGCCCCCTTTGAAGTTAGGTTATGATCATGTGCCCTGCCTTTGGCCAGTGAAATTTGAGGTGATCCTGTGTTTTATTTCTGTTGAAAGATCTAAGAACCAGTGTATGATCTGTCATTTCTTTTTTGTTTTCCCATTATTGTGCTAACAACGTTCTGCATGTCAGGCAGCTGCTCCATCAGCCCAGGTCCCAGAAAGAGGGCAACGCAGAGTACAGGCCTCAGTCTATCTAGCACAGACATGCAGCAGAAGTGGGTTTGCCTAGCCTGCCCACTACAGCAGAGGTAAGAAGTTCTTTTGTTGCTTCAGTGAAAAGTGGAGATTGGGCTTCTGATGCCACTGCTGAGGGATGTTTGTGCCAACAGTACAAAGGCAGTGGTGGGTAAAAGTGCCTTAGCATGAACACAAACTGTATTAGCAGCCATTGTATTTTCACTGTCCGACACTTGAAGTGGGGCAAGTTTCACCTATGAATGACCTTGAAGCAGCAAAAAAAATGACTTCTTAAATCTCAATCCTAAGTACTTACCTTTTTAATACTTGTTAAGTGAGGAAATGAATAAAAGAAGTTTCAGTGGAATAAAACAGGTAACAGAGAGACAGACCCCCAGTCAGGAAGAGCAACATGGAACCAAAATCCGGCCAGAGTTAGACAGGAGCCCTCTCCCTTGGTGGACCAACATGCTTAGCCGACTCTCAGCAGAGACCCAGCTAACAGGCCTGAATACAAAGTAGGAAGTGATCTCAGGGACAAATAAGGAGCCTGGTTATAGGAACCAGGACCAAGGTAAATGCTGGATCAACTGCCAGAAAAACTTGATGCAGCATTCCCTGGAGCTGTTAAACTTCCCCAGACTGTGGTAGGTCTGCAGGCCTGTGGAGAGGCCAAAGCTGCAGTAAGTTCAAGCGTCTTGACCTTGGTAAGAAGGAAAAGAGACCACAACAAGCAGGGGTGAGAACACTGGAAGGCAGAAGCCCATGAGCGTGGCTTCTACGACTAACCAGCTGTCAGTTACCCTAACCGTTATCTCCTGTTTAGTCCCCTCTACTGAGTTACTGACTTGGAGATCCATCTTTCCGCTCCTGGTTTCCATATCATGGTCAAAGGCACTCTTATCTCTTGCAATCCACTCTTCTCTCAGGTTTGCTTATCTCAGTGAACTGTCTATCTCAGACTCGCTGTCCATCTGTATTCTACAAGTCAGAAATCTGGAAGCCATTTATAACCCTCCTTTTCCTTCATCCATCCAACATCTTTCCAACCTCCTAAACTGGATCCTAAATATCTCCTCTGCCTGTGCACATCTCTCCAGCTATGCCACCAAAACCATTCTGGGTCAAGCTCTCTGTCATCTCCCTCCCTTAAGCCAGTGTCCTAGATTTCTAGACTCTTGTCCTGAATCCAGGATGTCTGGATCCAAATGTTCTCCCACTGTGATCACACAGACCTATTCAGATATGTCTGCCCTCTCATTGCCCTGCTTAAAGACCTCGAAGCCTTCTCATTGTTCTTACGATAAGGATCAGAATCCCTCCTGTGGTTTTCATGGCCGGGCATAGTTTTTCCCCTACAGTGTGTGTCCCTGCCCATGTCCCTTTCCTCCTCTCACACCCCAGGCCACTTGCCTTCTGCAATCCAGCTCCTCTGGCCTTCTTGCAGTCTCTTGAATGTGTGACAACCCCTCTCACTCCAGGACTCTGGTTTCTGCTGTTCCCTCTGCCAGCTTCAGCTGCCTTCAAGACACTCTTTCCAAGTTCTTGAAAGTCCCAGCATGATTTCTGACATGGATTTCCTGCTCCATCCTGGCCCCCAGTTTTCAGGAAGGGCTTCCCTGAGAGTCTCACAGTACTGCCAAGGCTGGGCAGAAGGCCAGAGTACCCCACCATGGCCAAATGGGGGAGGTGGAGCGGACCTTCCAGCTGGGGAGCTGTGTCCAGCAAAACTGCAGGAGGCTGGATGAGTGTCAGAGCGATGGCATAAACAGTCCAGCGTAGCCTCTGTGGCTCTGCCTTCTCTTTAAAAGCCAAAGACTGAAAGCAGCTCATGACCCTACAGACAGGCTACCGTAGCAACCTGTTTTCCCTCTGCCTGGACTGCTGGATACTGTTTCACCTGTTTGTCTTCTGAAACCTGAATCAGCCACTGTTTATTCCCTCCCTGCCCATGTAGCTAAAGCCACCTCAGGCAATGACCATCATTCTGCTCATGACATTGAACTGAGGGCTATCCATAAGGCACCTCGCAGTCCTCCAGATAGGACAGAAATCCTTCGTAAGGAGCCTCAGGAATCACATGGTTATAGGAACTGCAAACTCTGACTCGTGGGAGGAGAAAGCAAGAGGGAGGAGAAGAGGACACTGGTCTTCCACTTCTGTGCCACATAGCAGCTCCCTACATAGTGAGCTTCTGCAAAGTTTCCGGGTAAGAATGAGTGGAGCAGGTGAAAAGACGCCTGCAGGTCATCAAATGCTCTCACTTTGCAGATAAGGAAACCACAACTACTTCTGTAAGAAGACTTGAACATTTTCCAGAGTGTAAATAAGCTACTGGCGATGACATGGAGAAAGGTGATAGTAAGAGGCCTGCTGTCAAGACCACCTGTTCCTGTTTATTGCATCCCCTCCCTCTGTAGTCTGCGGAAATACAATCATCACCAACACTGGAGGGATGCTTTGTGGTTGGGAAAGCACTTTCAGACTCTTGGTCCTTTCTGACCCTTTTCTCAACTGGATAGGAGGATGTTCTGATTACTGTGTTCACTGGAGGCAGATAAACTGACCTATTTCATTTTCACCAGTTAAAAATACATGGTCAAAAACTACGGGCTCACGCATGTTCACAGCAGTACTATTTACAATAGCCAAAACATGGAAACATCCCAAGTCCCCATTAATAGTGCATATATAAATAAATTGCAGTGCATCCATTCAGTGGAATATTATTCCACCATATAAAGGAAATGATATATCCTCCAACATAGAGGAACCTCAAAACTATGATGCTAAGCAAAAGAAGCCAACATAAAGGGTCCTATATTGTATGATTCCCTTTATAGGAACTGTACAGACTGGACAAGTCCCTAGAGACAGAGTGCAGATTGGTGGTTGCCAGGGGCTGAGGGCTAAGGGAAAATGGGGGGTGATGGCTTACAAGGTATGAGGTTTCCTTTGGAGTCACAAGGATGTGCTGAAACTAGACCGAGGTAGTCACTGTACAACACTGTGAGTGTACTAAATGCTACTGAATTGTCAGTTTAAAACCACTAATTTTATGTGGATCTCATCCCAATAAAATAAAGTGAATTAGGCAGACCCCAAACCCTAGCTCCTTCCCAACCTCAGAGTTCAGGTGATCAAAAGAATCCATTGATGCCGCTGTCTGCCATCCCACAGCAAAGCACACCACACAGGAACAATGCTTTAAAACAGACTTCCTGGATCTACTTACGGTAAACTGTGGCCCCGTGGTAAAAGGATCAGGAAATGGGCTCATTGTATCAGCCGGGAACGTTTTTATCTTCAAAAAACAAAAAAGACAGACAAAATGGTTATCTTCACATTAGAAAAAGTTTGGAAATCTTTGGCAGTGCACCCTTAAAACAGAACTGCAGGATGCAGGGGGACCTTGGAAGGCCTTCGTCCCTCAAGAGTGGGGCCACAGCGGGTCTCATGTTGAACCTCAGGACTGGGCTCAGCAGGGACGACAAGCCTGTGTGCCTTGCCTGCAGCTCCCTTTGCTGGGTTCTGCCTGGGCCTTCCCGGCATGCTGGGTCCTAGGCCTGACCTACAAAGGGCCACACTCAGAGTGTATAAGGAGGTAATCAGAGGTGCCAGGGAACACATTTGAGGACCTGTCTATAGCTTTGGGTAAAGGCAGGAGGCTGCTGAGAGGCCACATCCTGGACACATTCTATCATAGTGGGCAGGGTACCAGGAGGTTGGGCTAATTAAGTCAGAAAGTAGTCCCTGTCCAGGCGCTTTAGTTGTTAGACTCCCTGTACACCTCAGGTGACAGAAAAATATCTCAAGGGAACCCATGGATGCATGGGAGAATCCTGCCAGCATGGGCTTGGGCAACAGCATGGCGCTCAGACGTGCCCAGTGTTGTGGGTAACTGAAGCACAGAGCTGGTCTGGGAGACGCTGGATGCCCCCATCTGATCAGGTAGTGGAGGTCCAAAGGATCCTTGGTTTCCATAGTTATTTTGTCCTTGGTTTCCTAGAGGCTGTGGGGGAATGAGAGGACTTCTGGTGAAGGCCACTCTACCACCTGCAGGCAGAGGGCTGCAGCCAGGACTCTAAGGACAGCACTGCCCAAGGGCAGTAGCCTTGTGTCTCTCAGGATCTCACCTGGGGCTCCTAGCATAGCACCCACGTGCTCTTGCCCTGCTCAAATGGGAGGATAAGTAGGGATGAGCAAGATCCCATTAGACGGGACCTAAATTGACTAAGGTTTTCTGAATGGGCAGAGGAGGTCTCCACCAACAGAGGGACCATAATATCCTTGCAATGTACACCAAAGAGTCCAGTCCAAGTCTGTTGCCCTTCCCCCAAATCTCTCCAGTCTCCTTTAGTATCTCCAAATTGCCAGAATGGTTCCCACACCCGAAGACCTCTTGGAAGCAGCCTCACAGTATATTCTCGCCTTGCTGAACAGGTGAACGTGGTGTTCTGAGACCAATCTCAGAGCAAAAAGTAATGTGCAGATTAGCTTTCAGACCCTTCTTCAGCAGAAAAGAAAGTAGGTTCTTACTGCTATGAAAGAAATGTGAAAGTTAGCAACCTCAACCTGCTGTAAATGTTTTATCTGCTGTAAATAAGAAAACTAGATCCCAATAGTTACACTCTGCATTGCTCAGGCTGCGGCAGAGTATGTACAGATTTCTGATGGCACTGCAGTTGGCGTAACGACTTCAGAAGGGGACAAAAGCCAGAGTCTCACTCTGTAACCCAGCAGAGTCTAGCCTAAGCAAATGAAATCCTGATGTGAAAAGCTACATGTGTTTCCTCACACAGTGACAAACTGGAAACAAAGCACAATGTCCTGCAGGGAAGGGTTGGTGAAGGTGGCTCAGTCAGTTGGTGGAATATAAATAGTTAGTGCAAATGCGGCAACAAGAACAACATAGAAACAACATGGTATCAAGTGAAAAAAGAAAACCAGGAGACAATATGACTACCGTGAAGTAATTTGTGAAATTATGAAGGAATATGAATAAACAGAAGGAAACATGCAAAAATGAAAACTCTACGCTAGGTTGTGCTTCCTGTTAAATTGTTAGGTAGCATTCCTATTATGTCATTGTGTTGATAAACAGTAGTATGACAAGTTTAAAAATGACTTTCAATAGAAATGACACTTGAAAGTGCATCTGATGAGTGCCACATGTATTTCTCGCTGGGTAAAGCATCAGTGCTCGTCAAAATTCTTGGAAAACAAGCTCTTCCTGGATCTTGAGAGCTATGGCCGAAGGGTTGGGACCATAGCCTGTGTCCCACTTTGACCAGGCCCAGGTGACTCTAAACTCCCCATACGTCCTGGAGTGAGAGCATCTGTCGGCCAGGCTCCTCCGAGGTCTGGTTCTCCTGGCCTCTCGTCCAGTCTCCACCTCGCCTGGGGCTCCTGGCCACCACACCTGTCCTGGCAGGTCCTCTCCCTGCCGGGATACCTACCAGCCTCGTTTTGATTGGAGGGTACATGCAAACTCCAGTGGTCTCTTCCTTCATGGGGAGAGAGAGTGAAGGAGAGCAGCGAGAGCGGGCACAGTGGGGGCTGCTGGCGGGCTCTGCCTGCTCACGAGGAGAGGAGAGAAGGGGAGGAGGAGGTGGTGAGACAGGGAGGAGAGAGAGGAGAGAGGGAGGGGAAAGGAGAGAAAGATAGCACAGTGCAAGACGGATCTGGCAACTCCAGACTATTCTCAAACCAGCTTTGCCCACAGCCTACTTCCAGCCTGTGGACAGCTGGCTGCTGGGCCCACCCGCCACCCTGCTTTCTCAGCCTCTCTCCTCCTCTTTGATCCTCATCTCTCTTCTCCACTATGTGAGCGACAGTACACCAAACCCTCTTCCCAGGGCTGGCACGGACAGGTCGTCTCCTGTGCCAGCCGTATAGGGCCGGTAGTGCCTTCTTGATGCACAGATAGGGTTCTGAAGCATTGCCCAGGCCAAGCCAGAAGGAGAGCATCATGAATTAGCAATGTCAGCCACAGGAGCAATATGCAGACTGGCCACACACTTAAGAGCATTTGCCTTCCATACCGGGTACCTTCCCGCCCTCTGCTAAAGAAGGGCACCCACTGGGGGTACAGGTGAGTGGACAGCCAGCAGGGAGCACCAGGAAGAGATACCTCCAGGGGAGGAACAGAGTGTAGGATTTCATCTGTCATGGCTCTTTATTATTTGGGTTGCAAAAACAAACTCCCACACCCCTGAGCCCAGCACTGGGTAGCTTGCTGCTCAAGGGAAGGTACCAAGCATTGTGAGAAGAACATTATGTCCTTTGAGGTTCTGGCTTCCCCACCCTAAAGACTGCCGCATGCCCAGCAGAAGTCCAATAGCTTGCACTGGCAAGGATGAAGACGGTCAACAGAGGCCACTTGATGGTGGGACAGGGGCCATTGTGAGGTTAGTTTGGATTGCAGGGAGGGGCCATCCACTGCAGGGAACAAATGCACACCTCGTTTAGTTTAAGAGTTTCCTTATACAGTTTGTCTCATCTCAGCAGGAGCAATAAAATATAGCCTCTGGGTAAACTGAACTGAAAAATGATAAGAAACTTGCAGGCCTCTTTTCCTGCACCAAGTTGATTTAACTCTGCCCTCTTGATAATCATGCAAAGCTGCACAATTTCCAAAGGGCTTTTATAACCGCTATCTCACAGTGGTCTTCACAACAGTCTTGTTTTACTGTTCACATCTGATGGACGCAGAAATGGTATCTGCCAAGTCTAAATCCTGGATCCCAATCCTCCTGTTGATTATTACTCCTTTGGAGGTAAGTGAGTCTGTATGAGTCACCTGCAGTTAAGGCTTACCCGCTGCCTTAAAATCTCCTCACAGTCCTTCCTGGTCCTCAGGATACGTCCTACCTGCCACAAGACAGTGCAGGAGGCCTGCAGGGGGCTGGCTCCCTCTGCCCTCCAGGATGAGTTCCCACCACCACCCCAGTGCACGGAGCCTCCAGCCAAAATCAGCTACAGTAGAGAACCCCAGCCACCGGGCCTTTGCCCCTGCTGATATCAACAGGGAACCAATGTGTGTTTTATGAAGAAAATAAAAGCTGGCATAAACGACCAAGAAACATGGCCATATTGCTTAGAGCTCAAAATGTGTACTGAAGATTATCATGAATGACCTAAGGCTTTGTCCAGCATTGGACTTTTACGGGAAATGCTGATCATCAAGCAAGTATTTCTGGACTTTCTAAACATGCATTTGAGTGGAATTAAACAAAAGTGCATCCCTAGACTTGGAGTAAATCTATGCCTTTTAACTCTCAGTAAATGAACAAGAAAAAAGATGACATATGTAAGATGATACTACTTTGAAATACCATTTTATCTTCTGGTATTTCTTTCCTCCTTGGCGCTTATTCACATTCAGGCTGATATATTCTTTGATAGATAGTTGGCTTTTGAGTTTCAAAATCTGACTCCTTGGGAGAACAGAAAGATTCCTGGCATAGATAAATGACGAAGAAAATGTGTAAGGCTTCTTCATCATCTGAGTAAGAGAAGAAACTGCTCATTTGACGACAATGGAGGAAAGCCAGGCAATGGCAGTGGGGAGTCAGCAAAGGACCCAGGGCTCCTTCTCCATGGACAGAGGCTGGGAACTGGGGTGAAAGAGCAGTGAGGATCAGAACCCCTGCTCAGGTATAGCTGGGAAGGCAGTGGGCCCTGGGCGGAAGGGTGCCAGCTAGTCAGGATTCACACATCCCAGCAGGATGGAGATTCCCATCCTTCCAAAAAGGCCACAGAAGCAGCAGAGACAATGTCCCAGATGTATCAGCAAGTGGATGGCGCCAGACCTCCATGGGCCCTGGGGAACACAGATGAGACCATGAGGAGACAGAAGGGGTGCCCTGATTTGGCTTGAGATCAAGGGTTGGCCCTCCAAGATGAATGAGGTTTAAAGTAAACACGAAGGTGTTGACCCGGACAGGATCATACTTGTGACACCCAACCCAGGGCCTGATCCTATGCCCTACGCAGATGTCTTCCTTGATTTATGCTCTCTTTACTCTTCTGTCATGCACCAGAAGGGACCTGGATCCTGACTGGCCCTGCTTGGCAGGCAGGTGAGTGGTTTACAAGGATTAGGAAGATCAGAAAAGTCGAGAACACAGAAGGCAGCGGTATTTTTTGTCTGTGTTACCTGGGAAGGGAGGCTGGCCACAGGCCTGCAGCAGGGTCAGGGTTCTGCATCCCTACAGTGAACACTGTTGATGTGTAAATACCTCCTCTGCCCACATCCCCTCCTCAGTGGACACCAGTCCCCCTGGCAGTGGTCACATTCACAGCTGGAGAGAATTCCCAACAGAGAGGTGCCACCTTGACTCACCTGCTGGCTCCCTTTCCTCACTTACCACCCCTGGCCCCACTGCTTGGTCCCAGGCAGAATCTTGCTTGTGATCCTGAACTGTGAGAGGCAGGAACTGGGAATGGTCAATGATCAAGCCGTGAAGGCTGTAAAGCTGCAGGTAGCTACACTGGGCTGAGCAATCCAAGAGTCAGGGATTAGAAAAGAAAAAGTTTGAGGAAAATGATACGGTAGGGCAGAGACCCACACAGAACCAGACCAAAAGGAGTCTTTATTGGGGCAGTGACATGGTGGGCTGCCCAGTGGACTAGGACAGCATCGAGCTGAGCAAAGCATGGGGTTTTTAAGCTTTTGGGGAGGGTGTCTTTGGGCCAGAACATTTTTCAGGAGGGGGTGTCCACGAGCCAGAATAGCCCCATCAGGGTGGGTTGCTCATGGGTCAGCACAGCCCAAGCAGTGGGTGTCTGTGGGCCAGAACAGCCCGAGCAGGAGGGGTGTCGTTCGTCAGAGTTGAGCGTCTGGTTCTGCCAAGGCAGATGAGGGTGAGGTTGGCTTTTGTTGAGGGAAACTGAAGGGGAACAGGTGAAGAGGAAGGAGCTTTTATTAACTCCTTAATAAAACAACTTAAGTCTCCCACGGGGGCGGGGGGCAGGGTTTGCCTTGTGACTTACGAGAAAAGAGGGGAAAATGTGGCAAAAGTGAGGTTGGGAAGTGTACCTGTGGAGAGTTTGAGAATCAAACCCTCAAAGCTGTGCAGGACTCCAGAGAGCTGAGAAGACACGTAAGATTCAGATAAGTTACAGGGGGTGCTGACTTAATCTTCTGACTGGTTTCGAGGGATGTTAGTTCAGGATTGAATCTTTTCTCACTCTTGGCGCTTTGGACTGGGCTTCTTTAGAAACCACTCCACAGAGAATGGACCATGGGGGTGTTGAGTCTAAGGGCTATGCTGGTTCTTATGGCGCTTTGGTGGAATGCTCCTGATGAGAGCAGGGACATGTGGTCCTATTCGGCTCTCTGCAGTTCCCTGTCCTTCCATCATGCTGGCCAGCACTTTAGGAGGTGAGAGAGAGCTAGATGCAGCCTGTGAGCTTGAGAGGGGATGACCCAAAAAAAGCATTCTTAAAGGAGTTAGGTGATTCTCTGTGTGATGATATTATCCTGGAAGTTTTGAGTCTTTCCTAGTAATGTGCCGGTTCTTTTATGACTTTTTTCCTTTCCTTTTTTGGCAGTACGGGGGATTGAACTAACAACCTTGTGTATGCTAGGCAAGGACTCCAACACTGAGCTACATTCCCAGCCCTTTTTATTTATTTTTTATTTATATCTTTTTTTGAGATGGGGGGGGTCTCATTAAGTTGTCCGGGTTGGCCTTCACCTTGCAATCTTCCTGCCTCAGCCTCCCTAGTAACTAGGATTACAGGTGTGTGCCACTGTACCTGCCAAAGTGTTTCGTCCTTTTCTGAAGGAAATGCTGGTGGGAGGCTCAGAGAGGAGCTGGAGGCCAAGGGCACAGAGCTGGCAGCCAAGGAACCACACTGAATTGCTGAGTGTTTTAGACCAAGACACAGAGCACCTCACAGCCTCATCCCTACTCGGCAGTGCCGGGTCAGTGACTTGGAGATGGTCCCAGAGATGTCCCCAAGCCTGGGCTGTGACAGTAGGGCTGAGGGCAGGGGAATGGGTCAGCTAACAGATGGTGGACTGGCTGTTAGGGAAAGATGACACATCCTGCTTCAGGTCATGTTCCATCAGGATGGCGCTAGGACAGCTGCCCAGGGCCTGGGTTCTAGTCCTGGCCCAGACTGCTGTGTGATTTGGGACAAATGCCTGCCCCTGTTTGGTTCTGGTTTCCCCATTTTAGGATCATGGTCCTAAGGCACTGTTCTGCTTACAGGCTACTGCAAGAAGTAAGGAAGTCCTAGATGCATGTCAGGCATGGGGGCTGCTCTTACCTCTTCTGGTCCAGCTCTGTCCTATGGTAGATAGAGAACGACCTCTGCAGCACCCCTCTTTGCATCCAGGATACTGATTTGAAGATGTAGGCACAGTCACTGATCCCTGATGCCCACAGTCCCCGACTGGAAACAAGTTTCCCAGCTCCATACTGTGAACTCTCTCCCCTCCTCAGTATCCAATAGTGAGGTGAGAGGGCTGCTACTTTCTAAGAGGACATGGAAGGAAGGAGACTCCTGAACAGACAACTGGATCCTGAGAGTGGATTAATGTGCTGTTTGGAGGTGCGGCAGGGCTGGAGGAGGCAGGTCACTGGGGCCATGCCTTTGGAAGGTGTATCTCTCACTGGTGCTCTTCCCCTGTGCTCTACTTTGCTCCTCCATGCCCTTGAAGCATGATGTTTCTGCCTTAGAGTCAGCCAGTCAGGGACCGGAAACTCTGAAACCATGAACTAAGCAATCATTTGGTGCTTTAAGTATGGATGTCAGGTATCTTGTCCCAGCACAGGAAAGCTAACTGATACACCTCCCCGAGTCCTGAACTGATATACCTCCCCGAGTCCTGTGCACATGCACCCCTGCCTCAAGACAAAGGACACTTCTTCCTGTGCATGCGTTCACTGCAAACTTCAGTGAGCGGCTATGTCCTGGTGTTGTACACGGATCTGGATGCCCCGGGCCTGGGCAGTGCAGCCCCTTGAACTCAGCTTCAGATCTAAGTGTGAGCTGCCCAGGGATGGAGGAAGTATCCCAGGGAGAGCGACTGACCCTCTATTGCCAAAGGGGTGTCCAGAGGCTGGACAGTCTTTTGGCAGACATTTGCACCTTGGATCAGCACATTTCTGAATCCCTGACATATGCCTCTTCCTTCCTAATCTCAGTCTTTTATGTCCAAACAAAAGATAATTTAAGTAAATCTACAAGCTGGAGTCCCAGTGTGAGAGACTCCAAGGAATTCTATCACTCTGCAAAACCTGCTATGAATATTTTAATAAGCTGATCCTAGTTTTCTGGACCACCAGGCCCTTTAATAAATGCCCCGTACTTTGTTCACACCGGGCTTTTTCCATAGAATGACTTGGTTCACTTTCTCTACCTGACAAATTCCTATTCAGACTTTTGAACCCTGGCACCATGAACCTTCCTTTCCTCAGCGCCCACGGGCAGGGTTAGCTATTGGGTCTATCAGCAGCAGCAGCTCATATAAACTGTGTATGGCATCAACTGCAGCATATTTTAGCAGGTTGGAAACTGCCCACGAGTCTGTCTCAGGGAATTACACGTCTTCGCCTTGCCTCCTGCCAACCACGTTCTTCTCCACAGGGTCCTCAGAACGCAGCTTTCTCTTCCTTTTTGCCGTCACAGGTCCCCAGGCTGTACCCCAGGCAGAGGAGTCCTCCGGTCTCCAGGGAGATGCTGTCCTCCAGTTAGACTGGATGTCCTCACACAGCTTCTCAGAGTTCTACAAGGCCTGCATGGATCTAAGGCCCCAGTCAGGATGTTGAGTGGGATACTGAGGCAGCACCAGGCCTAGGCACTGAGTCTTCTGCCCCTTTCTCTCTGCCTTTGTTTTACTTTTCCACCCTGAGGAGTGGCTGAAATGCAGCCCTTCCTCTAGGCATTGCTTTGTTCTCAAGTGGCGAGTTTGCTAAAGAGGAAGCTCAAGTTTGCCCAATCTGCGGCACAGAATACGGGCAGATGAGCCAGACACCCGTGCCAGCTCCAGCTTGGTCCCTGTGTGATTTTCCCACTCTGGAACTCAGTCTCCCCCTCTGTGCTAGGGGATGATGAGGTGATGCCGAAGCCCCTCTGTTTCCTGGGTTACCCTATTTGAAAGGGCACTTCCATCTGTCAACAGTCTTGGGAACTTGTCTAACAAGAAAGCTCTGAGTGTAATTCTGAAGGGCTCCTGGTTAGGGGTCACCACTGTCAGTCCACAGCTGCATGTCCCAGGGTGCTACCGCAAGCTCTCAGACTGCACCAGCTCTCCCAAGGAGAAGGATGTTGTACAATTTCATCAGGCAGCTGACCGGAAGCATTTCTAAAGCCTGGACAGCATTGTGCCCCATCTGTCCTCGCTTGAAAGTCTTCCAGGAATCTTTCCTGTCCACAGATTCCTCCTCCAGCAAATCAGCCCTGAGTGACTCCCACTTCCGGTCTCTCCCTGAGCACCTTCTTTGCAGTTTGTCATGGGGCTCTTGGCCATTTATCAATGTGACATTCCCTCCAGCCTCTGGCTGCCCTTGCCACCCTCAGACCCTAGCATATGACCAGGCACACAGTAAACTCAGGAGATAGGTTTGACTTGGCTCATATTTTGACTCACAGCCCAAGTGGAGATTTATGCTCAGCCCAAAGTAGACCATCATTCATACTCAAGTACACTCAGGTATTAGCCTGAGTCCAGCCAAAGATGGACCCAAGTTTGCTTGTATGATCCAATAATAATAACACCTTGCCCATGTTTGTGGTGCTTTCCATTCTCTTTTTCTCTTGTTCTCTCTCACGCAAACCTTGTAACACTCCTGTGACAAGGACACCCTTACTTTATAAATGATAGCGTGTCGTCGATTATCTAATGACAAGGCTCCGTAGAAGGTGAGCAGAGATTGGAGCCAGGACTTGCCTGTGTGACTCCTGCTTTAGTGCTCTGTCCTTTAAACAGGGTTCCTCACCTGAAGGGGCCCCACAAAGACCTGCACGCAGAGGAAGGATGAGGGCAGTCTGTGCGAGGGTCCTGAAAAGCCAGGTATGGCATCAAGCTAGTGTTTTAGCCCAGACAGTCATAAGCCACAGTGAGATGGGTGGGCATGCAGGGCACAGCCCAGGAAGCCGGGAAGTGGAGACCCAAGCACGAAGAAGCCCTGTAGGCACAGCAGACAAGTGCAGGCGGAGCCCCTGTAGCCACCCTTGGAGGAGAGGGAGCAGCCTTCCCTCCAGGGCAATCAGAGGTGCGAGGACCCATGGGCCTGAACCCTCCATGACAGCAGATCTCTGAGCCTCTGGGACAAGAGGAAACACCCTGGCAACAGCAGTGCCCACCTCTCCATCTGTCCCATTGCCAAGATGTTGCTATGGTCTGTGGCTTTAGCAAAATAGGAAGTTTACCAGAGGAGTGGCTTCTGTGAAATCCATCAGAAGATCGCCAGGTTCCAAGGTGAAGGTACCTCCTCGGTCGGAGGGGCTCTACGAACACAGACAAAAATATACTTGGTTGGTGATGCCTCTGGGTTGTCGGAAGTCACCAGAAAAAATAGCTCCCCCACCTCTCTGCTACTCCCAAACATCGACCTAATTAGTTTGCCAGTCCCCTTATATTTGCTCTGCTCTGCAGTGTTCAAAATGTTGAGACTGAACCCCATTTGTAAAAGGCCTTCCTTGGTAGAGGTAGGGCCTGGGGTGGGCAAGCCTGTTCTTTTTTAAAGCTACAATCAGCTTTTCTTAAGTGTGCTGAGTGTTCTTTGATGTGCCTTTTGGGGGAAATGCTGCAGAGTCCTTTGGACATAGAAGGAGGGAACAAAGACTTTGTGCCCCTTGGGAGGACCAAGTGGCCTCCCGAAGCTAAGCTGATCTGCACAATAATGGTGAAGACACTCATGGGGGCTGGCTGGCACCTCTGGAGATGACCTGGCTTTGGAAAACATTTTGTTCCCCTGCTCCGGGGTCTTAGCTGCATGGGTGGCCTCCAGGCCCTCTGACAGAGGGGAAAAAACGCCAGCTCTGCCATCCTCGAGCTGCAGAGAAATGGCCAGGAGAGGGAGCCCTATGGCCTTGGGAGCTCCCAGGGCCACTCCCTTCGGTTTGTAAATGTTCCAGCCCAGTTTTAGCTGGTGGTGGGACCCAGGACAGGAGCCCGCGTCCACACTAGAGACAAAGCTGTAAGAGGACACCCTGCAGCGGAGTAGTACCCAACTGAAGATGCCAGGAGGTGATCTACAGAAAAGCCGAGAGTCTCGGTCTGGGCCAGTCACCAGCTAAGAGGTCCAGCCCTGTCCCTGTATCTATTCCTGACACCCGGGGAAAGACTGGCCTAGCTCACACAGGGTGTGAACCTGGACAGTTGCTATTTAAATGTTGCTAGGAATTGTGGCCCCGGAAGCTGCAGAGGCCTCTGGCATGCAGTTTGCATAAGCAGGAGAACCTTCACTGGACCCGATGCTAGGCCCAAGCTGGCAAGGCAGCAGATCTTCTCACTTTTAGGAGGAAGAAACAGGTTTGGGAAAATAAGGGGTTTGGAAGTACACTTTCGAGCAGTCACAAGGCATGTGAGCGGAGCAGCTGGGAACAAACTGGCACTGTCATGTTGGCTTCAGGGTCCCTATCCCGTGCATACATCTTTCCTCATACGGTCCCATGGACCACAGCAACTCTTATAAAAAATAAAGTCAGTGTATGTTTGCAATACACGTATATATTCATCATGGTGTATTGGTCCATATCTACTTGATTAGCATTAGGTTTGACTGTATTTAGGCCAATTGCTGAAGAGTGACCATAGGTAGAAGTCACTCACAGAAAGCCAACAGAAAGATCCTATGTGAGGTCCCTTGCAACCACTCAGTCGCATCTTGGTAATTTCTTGAAATTTTAAACTGGAAAATATTAATATTTCCTGCTTTCAAACTATTAATGCAGCTTATCTTGTAAGGAATGAGACAGGGACACATCCATGTTTTTATTCGTCCAAATTGTCTATTATGGAGGGTATGTATGTATGGGGGGGTGTTTCTCCTTTTCTACCTTTACAGAAGAGTAATAGCGTATGTAGGATAAAGTTCTAGATCAAAATTGCCCTCAAGAATCCTGTACACTGTTCTTAAAGTACAAAGTACATGGCTTTATATCATACTATGTCTTTTATAAGTGGTTGGTTTATATTTTGGGGATAGGATATATGAAAGTATGTTTTGCTGGGTTTTCTTAATGAATGTACACAACTAATTATGCAAAAATGAAATGCACACACTGGGAGCTACTCACTAAATCGATAGTATATTCCTAGCATGGGGCTGGGGATATAGCTCAGCGGCACAAGCGCCTGCCTGACAAGCCCAAGGTCCTGAGATTGATTCCTGGTATGCCCTGCAAAAAATATTCACAGCATGGACAGCCACTCTTGAGTATCATTCCATACCTTGGCCCCTGGGGACGGCTGGCCCTTGCCTTCTGACTTATGAGGTGAGCTGACTTTCTGGAGCTTGGGGGACGCCAGTGGGACTGCAACTTGTGTGGCAGCTGTCGTGGTGTTGGTGGTTGTGGCTGTGGTCGCTCCCACTGCCTCAGCCAGGTCTGGGGGGAGGTCGTCTTCATCACTGCGGTTACTAAAAGCACATGAAGCTCTGTTCATTACAATTATACACATGCTGTGGGACATGCAGGGGGGCAGGGGGGAGAGGGAGGTCAGAGTGGGGTTGGTGCCTCCCCAAACAGATGCCCACCAGATGTCCAGTTTACAGAATCCAGTACACTGACCTTCTAAACTGGGATGGATTTTCTATCACCTGCCAGGTTTTGGGTTCTTTAATTGTGGTAGAATGTATATAACAGGATATTTATTATTTTAACCATTTGTAAGTGCACCATTCAATATTATTAAATACACTACATTATCTAACCATTACCACTATCCCTGAAAACCTTTCATCAACCCCAACGGAAACTACATACATATTGTTATTGAACAATAGTTGTCCATGACCACCTCCCATAGCCTCTGGTTACACAGTCTCCTTTCCGTCTCCATGAATTCACCTATTCCAGGTACCTCATATAAATGGAATCATTCAATATATGTGCTTTCTGGGCCTGGTTTATTTCATTCACAATGATGTTTCTAAGACCAACCAGGTTGTGGCATATATCAAAATTCCTTTGTTTTTCCATGGTAAAAAATACTCAACTTATGGATATATCATATTTCTTATCCATTCATCTGTTGTTAAGACACTTGGGTTACCTTTCCCTTTTGGCTCTTGTGAATAATACTGTTAGAAACACGGATGGACAAATGTCTGTTTGGCTGTCTGATCTCACTCCTTTTGGACTGAAATTTTAACTAGGAGTATGCTTTCTGGGTGCTATGGTAATCGTACGTTTAATTTTTTGAGGAACCTCCAAATCAAAGGATAGTATACTGAGTAGCTCTCGTTAAGCTAGTAAGTACCAGGCTGTTAGGAACCCACGCTCTGAGTCAAGGGTATAACGGCCCTTTTGTGGCCAAACAGCAGCTGTCCCTTGTGTATGAGACATTGGCTACAGGAAAGGAGCTGGGCCAATCTGTCTTGGGACCAAGTAGCTCTGGTCTTAGAACCTTCCCTGACAGAATAATGTAACCCAGGAACAAAAGGATGGTAGACAGGAAGTCACCATGAGGGTGAAGTCTGGCCTGGCACCAAGGGGCTTCTCTCCAGGGCTTGGATGTGGTGGTGGTTTGGGGGGTTGACTTCCCACAAGGAGGCCCGCACTACAAAAATCCTATCCATTAATGCTGCCGTTTTCTACTAATGGGAAATGCTATCATTCTTTGATTCTTCAAAGCAGAATATTTGGGGGGGGCAGCTTAAGAAACACGCATTTAAGTGAGAGGTTTGAAAAAGGTTTTCTTAAAAGAGCCAATTTGGTGACTGAAATATTCTTTCTTTCCAGGCCACCTATCTGTCTGTCATTATTTCAAACTGATCACATATCCCCAAAGGGTGATAATACCGTTTTAGGTTTCAAAATATACAGCAAAGCAAATGCTGCCTGCCTTGTCCATGGGGAGGCAGATTTTCATGATTTCATGTGTTCCCCAGTGATCATTAAGATTGTTAATTACTTGAACCTATTAATTTTGACTTTCCTAAGAAATGTACCTGCTATACTGTCTGGAAGTTAAGGCAAATGAGGCGGGTTGTGTCTACCCTTTAGCAACCCCACATGTGCCTTGTCCTCCTTTCACAGGGCGTGAATGGCAGGCCTGGGGTGGAAGTTTGTGAACTGCATCTCACATTATTGCACCCCCGTCCTACATTTTGTACTCTGGGAACCTCCTGAACTTGACCTATTCTCAGAAGCTTCCAGGTCCTAGAAGGAAGAGGAGCACATGATGTGACCGGGTCCCCTACCAGGAACTTTACCCACAATCCGTCACATGTTAACCCTCATAATTCCTCAGAGGCAGATATCTGCTCTCACCCATTTTGCAGATGAGGAAAGAGCAGCTCAAAGAATAAATCTCCCAAGAGCATACAGCTGTAAACCAACCATGGCTCTCACTGAAGCCTGTCCAACTTCAGAGCCCTCTGTGTCTAGAGATCCCCTACAACTCCCTGAGGTTCAGTGCCAAGGCCACAACCCAGGTCAAGAAATGGGAACCATCCTTGTGATCAGTACTATAATCATGACAAATGCCACCAGCACCATCACTGGTCTCCTATACAGCTCTATGGTTAGCTTTGGCTCTGTCAATAGACCCTGCTACCATTATACCAATACACCACGGGAGACAGCTTTTGCTTGTGCCCTTGAGTGATCCCTGTCCTAGTATTCATACCCTCATGAATTCCTCCTCTTGAGTAGGAGCTGGACTGTGGGACTAGCTTCTAATAAGCAAAATATGGTGGAAGTAGTGGATGTGGTTGCTGAGCTTAGGTTACAAAAGCCTGTGCATTTTGTCTTGCTAACACTCTTCTCCGGATCTTCTCGTAGGTTTTCTCCGGTGGAGAAAGCCAGAGAGGTCTAGGTGACTTTCGCATAACAGCCCTTGAAGCACAGTAACTGCACAAATAAAGCTTCAGACATGACCACAACCCTTGCTGCCACCTTGAACACAGCCTTGTAAGAGACCCTGACAGAGAAGACCAGGCAACCATGCCAAGCTCGCAGCCTCCAGCAGCTGGGAGGTGATGACTGTCTCGCAGCAGTCTGCCAGCCAGCAGTCAGTGAGGAGTGCACATGCCAACTGTGCAATGTTTTCAAGGAAAAATGTCTGGGCCCACTGTGACCTAAACTGGGAATAAAGGGAATTTGGGGGGATGGCTCTCTGGCAATGGTCTGAAGGGCTAAACACTTAGAACCAAATATGAAGCGTTACTGTAGTTGTGAAAATTGAAAAGCGTGCGGTACAGAACTCACAAACTATATTGTCTTGTTAACTTCCTCACTCGGGGAGGCTTGATTTCTGGCTTTTCCACAGCTGGCTGGGCGGCTTCCACACGAATAGGGATAGGGCTTCTAGAGACATACCAAACAACAGGTCAACACCGACAAAAACGTTTAGTCTTGTTTCGGCAATACAGACTGCTTTTCCAGTAATTTCTGCCTTAATCACATTGATAGCCAAGAAGTCCATATGTTTTTGCCTTTCCACGCTACTTGTTTTAATAATTATAATTATTTTGAAAAGACCAGGACATCCAAAGCAAAAAAAAAAAAAAAAAAACACAACAACAAACAAAGATCATTGAGAAGAAAATAGAGCAAGTGAGGAACTAAATATAACTGGGGTACCAAATAAAACTGCCCTGTCCCAAACAGCCGCCCACATATTCACAATATGAGTTTGGTTCATCACCAGGTTCTGCCGGGAAAATGAATGAAGAGAAACCCGTGGATAACTTGAGTTTATCAATAATCTGGTGGCCATGCTATTTTAAACATAGCACAGAATACATTTCTAAGGAAATAAAGAGCCATAGTATATGCCATGTGAAAAACATAATCAGAAGGCCTTTAGGAATTGCTATATATTTCAATTTGAGGTATATGTATAAATATTAAAAATGAAATTTCATTTTTACCTTTCCCCAATCATTTCTGCCAGATAACTGATAGGCCCTATTCAAAGTAGAGATTTTAAGGAAAAGCTTTAACATGTTTATAGTGCTGGTGACTAATTTCATTTTTAAAAACCAGTAATTAGCCTCCAGCACATCCAAACAAGTTAAGACCTCCAGCAAGGGACCCCTGGCAAATCAGTGAACCCTTGTGAGCCTCCATTTTCTCTTCTATTCAGGGGCTAATTGTGTGATAAGCATGTGGCTAGCCTCTAAGAAGTGTTCTTGTTACATAAACACAGGAATGAGCAAATAAAGAATGCAAAGGGTGGGCCCCACTTGCGGTTCTCTCAGGCAGGGAGCCCAGAGTAAAGGGAACAAGGTCCCTGGAAGAGCTCAGTCTTACAGAGAAACATAACTGCGCCTGCGTGGAGTGGCTGACCTGTGGGAAAGTTTTGTGGAGGAATCAACTCTTAGCTAGGTGGAGAGAAATAGGGTGGTCATCTGGCTAAGGGCAGGGCACCAGAACCACGGATGTGGAGGCCCCAGAGGAAGAGCAAGGGCTTGGGACTAGAGAGAAAGCAGGGGCCAGGTCGTGAGGACTTTAGGCCACTGAGTTTCCACGGAAGGCAAAGGTAGTGTCTAAAGGTCTTAGGCAGGTGAGTGGCACGTCAGACCTGTATTTCAGAAAGATCCTCAGAGAAATGCAGAGGGCATGGGTGTGAGGAGACCAAGAGCACCTTAGAGGAGGTTCGAACAGTAGTCCAGGGAGAGAGAATTCAGGGTGGGCCTGGGCAGGGGATTCTGGTCCTGAAAAGGAGATGATGGATGTGGGAAATAATATGAAAGTCAAATTGACTGGATGTGGTGATTAATTCCGTAAGGAGATGAGGCAGGAGAAAACATGGACCCCCAGGTTTCAGTCCTGGGTTAGAAATAGGCAGTAATTTCATTCGTCGAGATTGGAAAACAGGCGAAGCATGGTGGCAGGGAAGAGATTAACTTTCTTTTCCTCTCTCTTTCTCTCTTCCTTCCTTCCTTCCTTCCTTCATTCGTTCATTTGTTCATTAATTCATTCGTTCGTTTTCTTCCTTTCTTCCTTCCTTCCTTTAGTGCTAGGGATGGAGCCCAGGGCCTTGTGCCCAGGGCCAAGTGCCTCACTGCTGAGCTAAAATCCCAGTACAAATGAAGTTTTGGAGAAGGCTAGAAGGATATGTGTCTTTAGTGGAAGATAAATTTACACCAAGAACATAGAGTGGGAATCTTAAAGATGACACAGAGAAATGTTAGCCTTTCTTTTGGGCATCAAGTATAAGAATTCCCAAGGACAGTGGATCTAGATCCCCTGGAATACTTACTAAAATACTGATTCCTGTCCCTACCCATCCAGCAGCTACCCATAATTGGAGAGGTCTAGAGTGGAACCCACGAGCCTGTGTTTTGAATGAGACCCTGATGCTGTGGCCCCAGGGGAAATGTGACCCTAGGGAGCCTCTGCAGGTGTTCATAAACCAAGAAGATGGCAAATAGGGCTGCCATAATTTATAGGCTGTGACACACTTGGGCCAGGGCAAGGAGAGTTTCTGCTGCCTGTGTGACTGGAGGACGGGTTTCCTTCAGGTCTGAGGTGCGGAGGACTGGCCTGGGAGCTTTCACGAACATGAGTGGCCCTCAGTATGAGGGCCACATCCATGAGCCTAGGGCAGAGCCACAGCTGAAGCTGGGGTGGGAAGGAACTCGGTTCTGAGACAGTCTGTCTTTAAAAGACTTGATGTAGGAGCACAAGGTCAGATCTACAAGCTTGAGAGACAACCCAAAGTGCTGAGTTCTTTGCTAGTATAGCAGGGGCAATATTAAAACTTAGACTGAGCAGCATCTCTGAGGCTTAAAGGAAGTTCTTTAAGATGATTTCTTTGGGCTCACATTCTCTTGGTTTCCTTTCTCCTAGGACGTTATCAGCCAATTCCCCCGGAGTAATGTTTTGAGGGTAATGTTGACAACTTAGGGTATTATTTCCCCATTCAAACAAGAAGCAACAGACCTTACATTAGCATCCTGAAGACTTGACTTCTTAGTGATATTTACAAACGTTGATTCCTCCTTTCCTATCTGTTAAACAAACAAACAAACAAAAATAACAAACAATTGGGTGAGTAAAAACTGAGCATCTTGGCACAAAAAACATTTCCAAGTCACCTCCATTCAAAGGATACTGAGACGTAAAGGTGGACTGACAAGTCATTTGTCAAGTATTCAGGCAATAGTAAAGCTTGTTCTGGTATTTACATAAATTATCAAAAAAAAAAAAAAGTTTCCTTGAGTCATTCCCCATTAAGGGAATTAAGACACAATCATCTAAATGTAATCAATGTTTGTATTCATATTTTCATTAAGCACCTGCTATGAGCCGGCTCGTGTCTGAACAAGAAGAGGACCGTGTGGGAAAGGAGAAGCCCACAGCTTAATCCCTCACTCACATTTTAGATCAAGAATAATAAACCGCCCCACGCTCACAGTGTACTTACAGTTTACAAAAGAATTTGGAATCTGGCCTTCCACATCAGCATAACAAGCTTAGGAGGAGTTACATCATTCCATTTTGATAGAAGCCTTGTCTTTCTCCCTCTGGTGAATCCCAAAGAATGGCGGGGGTTGGGGAGACACCCACTCAGCCAGCCAGGCCAGAAGAACACACACTGGTGGCCAATGGGAAATGCAGGAGCCTGTGGCCCTCACACCTACACTGCAGTGTACAGAGCTTGGCCCTAGGTACACGCTGAGCAGAGATTTCAAGGATACTGGCTTGGTGGGCACTGGATTGTTAGCCTCCCATGGTTCCCCACGTAAGGACCAGCCTTGCTTCCTGATCAAAGTCTTTTTTAAAGCCAGCAATAACAGAGAGCATTGTTGGCCTGTTGGACTTCTGTTTCCTTCCCTTATATCTTGGCCCTGCATGGAGGTCAATAGCAGATTAGCGCTTAAGTCCCTGTCAGTGCACCAAGGCCTTTATAACAGCACCCCTCAAAGCACAAAGCCAGGAGCTAGGCTTGGTGGCTCATGCCTATAATTAATCCCAGTAACTCAGGAGGCTGAGGCAGGAAGATTACAAATTTAAGGCCAGCCTGGGCAACTTAGCAAGACCCATTTCAAATAAAATTATAAAAGGGCTAGGGATACAGCTCAGTGGTAGAGTGCTAGGCAAGCACTCGAGTTCCTGGGTTCAGTCTCCTCTAGTGCAAAAACAATCCCCCTATCCCCAAAAGCCTATCCTAAATCAGGGATTCCTAAAACACATTTCTGTGTCCCATGAACACTGGATCACAGACAACAGTGGAAGCTTTTTTACGAAGGGTTCTGCAGTCAATTTAGGTGTGGAGGAAAGTAAAACAGATTTCTTTTCCATGGGCCTTGTCAGAGCCTATAAAAAGCTAATGTGTGGCTGACAGACTCACTCTTTCTTGTTTGAGAAGTTTGGCAAGCAGTATTTCCTTTTTTTTTTTTTTTTTGGTACCAGCAATCGAACTCAAGACCTTATGCTTGCCAGGCAAGCGCTCATGCCACTGAGCTATATTCCCGGCCCAGTATTTACAAAGTGATCAGTGAGCATCCCATAAGGCCCATGTTCCTTATAAAATCTTGGAAAACACTGCTCTGAATCATTAACTCTCTTCTCTTTTCCTGCTTTGGGCCCTCCCACTGTTTGGCTGGGACATTTTCTTTTCTTTGTATCTATCTCTGGTCTTTTTTGACACTGTGAAATGAAGTATTTCCAATACATTGTATTTCTTCATCACAGCAGAAGTACAGGTCCCCCACAGGTGAGGCGGGCAGCACAAGCCACTGAAAACACGGAGCAACTTCCTAGTGCAGATTATGTCTTTGTAAACTGTGACGTACCTGTCCCGTTTGTCTGTTCCACAGTGTAAAAATGGCGTACTTTAAAACAATGAAGAGAGTAGCATGGGGACAAAGAATTGTGACTACAACTTTGAAATGACTGAGTTTGCAAACAGAAGTTCATCTGAGCACCATGGAAAAAGTGCTACTACCTTTATCCACAAAAGAACCAGTGTATCTATCAACTTCCTCACATCAGATCTGTGATCAGTATTGTACACATCTCCACAACGGTAGAGCAATGCATTGTGTCAGGTACTTTACATAGATCACCTCATTTAATCTTCACAAGAACTTAAAGTGGTATAAACTGTAATCCCCATTTTGCACATGAGAAAACCAAGACTCAGAGAGTTTAGCAAACAAGTATAACGTGACACTGCTGATAAACAGTAGATGAAGATTCAAACTCAGACCATCTAACTTTCAAACTTGTGTTCTACGGTTTACTGTTTCCTGTTTACATCACAGCTCCCAAATGGAAGAAATTTTGTAAGCTTCCTCTTGTTTTTCATGGTATGTTCTGGGAGGATATAAATTATTCCTATTGCTACATACGTAAGTAGACATAATAATATATTTCCACAGAAACATAGGCATAGATACTAGGTTCATAAGGGCTGAAGATAGTTATATATTTTTCTATGAACTCATGAAGCACTGTAGTTTTTTATATACTGTCTGCAGGACAGAAGGGTAAATGGCTTTCTATTTGAGTGCCATCTTTAACAGACTAGTGTTTTGTCCTTGGAACACTGTAGCAAATGAGCCTGAATTTCACCCATTCTCCCCTAACCACAGTTAGGGATAGCTCTTTAGAGAGAGGAATATTATAGACAACTGAATTAGATAGAAATTAACAGGCTGTGAGACAGGGCTGGGCTCTTGACGGAGTCAGTGCAAAAGATGAAAACACATCAAAATTGTGGCTGAGGGTATATCTGAAGAAGGCATTGCCTTGAGATTAAAATCACAATGGCCAGACTTGCATATTTCCCTAAGATATGAATGGAAATTTGGGATTATATTGGAGTTGATGCCACTCAATCTATTAAGTCCAGACAGATATCAGTCACCCAGGTGGGTGACCAGAGCATATGGACCCACCCCTTCCCCAAAATGCCTTTGCTCTTTTCATGTACCCTTGCTACATGATCTGCTTCCCTATTTGATCAATATTAGCTAAGTAGCTATACTTGTAATCCTATAGGTGATTGTAGTTTGACCCCCGTTATACCCACATGGTGACTTTGCTGTCTAAATTACTCCTGACAAAGGGCCTCAGTGACAACCCACTTTCAGGTCTCCACCTATCTGTCTCTTAGGAGCTGTCTCTCAATAAATCTTTTCTAATCTTAAAAAAGCAAGCAAGCAAGCAAGCAAGAAAATGATTCTGAGACTGTATTTAGGTTTACAGGGAGAGTGTAGAGGTCACTACTTATAACCATGGGTGCCAAGTGAGAGAATTTATGGCAGTTACTGACCTATTATTTCTCATTTCCACATTCACCCTCTGAACATCTACTGGGTGGGTCTAGAGCTGAGAACCAGTAAACTCAGCAACTGCTTTGCCAGCGGGCCTCATGCCAGGACCTATCAGTAGGGGGCGCTAGTTGGAACAGTCCTACCCCTTCCTGTTTGCTTCCTGCTCCCGGGTGTCAACAGCCTGTTCTTCACCCAGGCAATGGCAGTACCTCCCAGTCACCTCCAGTGTGCAGATTTCCAACATTTGGCAGATCCAGCATCACTGTGTCCACCTCAGGTACAACACTAGCCAGCTGCTGTCCCCTCCTCAAAGTGTTTGGCCAGGCCACCGTGCTGGCCACAGGGACCCTTGCTCAGACGTCTAAGCTCTTATTATAAATTATTAAGACATTTTAATATTCAGGGCATCCTTGTCCCCTCAGCTGTACAGATGAGCAGTGCTTCCTGTGGTTGATACTACAGGTCTCTTAGAGTAACGCGACCGACAGTGGCATGTTGTGAACAGGGGGAGATGCAGATTCACCAGCCCCATGCCAGCCTGCTGGTCTCTTCCCAAGCACCAGCTTTCCTGTGCATGCTAATGTGTGAGAACCATTGCTGTCCATTTGTCTCTCTGCTCTTTCACTTCCCTAGTTAATACCTGTATCCCAGTTAACTCTTCACATGAAAACCTTGGCTTACATACCCAGGGGGGCTCCTGTCTTCAGATCTAGCCCCACGGGCCCAGTGTCTGTCCTTCTTTGGATCTCAAGGGAGCCCTATAAGGTGGAGTCAGAACACTTAAGTCGCATACCTGGGCATTGGCCCGGGAGGCATTCTCCAGCTGTGCTTTCAGGATGTTACACTTCACGTGGTCCGCCACTGGGGAAGGCAGCAGTGGGGTCTGCAGTGTCTTCTCAGCAACTTTCTTCTCTTCAGCCTGAGACAAAGCAAAAGATAGGCAACAGATAGTAAACAAAGAAAAAAAGAACACACACACATTTTAACTTTCCCCAACCATTACAACTGTAAGCAACACATAGATCTAAAGATATGGGCAAGTGCGTCCCCAGCTCCTTAGGTCTGTGCCTGTGCTGTACTCTGCAGAGGACACACAAGGGCATCATTCCATTCTCTAGCAAGGCTGGGGGACGATGCATCAAGAGTAGAGGTGAAGGTTAAGAGAGGAAAGGCTGCAGAATCGTGCGGTGAGAGCAGAACCAGGACGCAACCTTCAACTTCCTCACACCCAATCCAATACTATCTCCCCCGTAGCGACCATCGCTGCCTAGATCTAATTCTGTGACTTGAAGGGTCAAAGGGAAGATTGAAAAATATTCACTGATATTTTTACAATAAACCTTGCTACAAACTATGATTCTCAACAAGGAATTTATATTTGTTACTTATTTATTTTGCTGCGAATTGAACCCATGGTCTTGTGCACGCTAAGTATGTGCTCTACCACTGAGCTCTACCCCTGGTCCCTGCTACCGTAGTGTAGATAATGTCTTGGACTTCAGTAATTTGGTTCCGTCTTCACTATTTTTACCATCTCCTGTGTGTTAATTGAACAGGTACCTGAAATTTATGTGATCTCGTTAAAGTGGATTACCCTGGGACAACATAGTCCTACTTTGGTCCTGTTCAAAGCAATAATATCTTTGAAATTATAAGCTCTGTAATTATTATATTTATTATAATAGACATGATGATATTTATATAACTATTAAAAGAAAAAATATTCATCCATGCGTGTAACCTGAAATCATCTTTGATGACACACATGCCACTTTTGGGAAATAATGACTCATTGCTAAGTGTATTTTTGTGGTTACTGCATATCCCAGCGCAAATATGGGACTTGACGTAGAGTAAGTATCCAATAAACACCTACTGCAGATGACTATGATGATATACAGTTATTACGAGAAGAGGTATGTGTTTAATAACAAAGGCACAAGACTATATGATTGCTAGAAGTTAATTCGGTAATATCAGGACTAAATGTGGCATGTCCATACCATGTACCAGGGCAAGAATAAAATCTTCTAAAGCCCTCAAGTTCTTCAAGTTCCAAAATTAATCGTATTCATTAAATTGAAAGTCCTATTGAGCATCTTGCTATGGTACCCATTGTAGGAATACTATAAAAGCCATAGAGGAAATATAGGGGAATTGGCTGGCTACCCCACTTAATAAAGAAAAGAAGGCATAGAATACAGTTTCCCACGGGGCCTTCAAGCACATAGAGGAGCATTTGGTAGAACAAACAGAGCTCAGCAATTTCACATAATAGCAAGCAGACAGGCAGAAGACTTGGCTGTTAACCTCAGCTTTTCCTACTAGCATCATTTTTAGAAGATGGGGGGATAGTAAGGATGTTGAGTTTGATTTTCAGTATAAAAAAAGGTGATGGTGATAAAAACAAAGCTGGGAGTGATAGTGCACACCTGTAACCAGTGAGTGACCAGTGCGGACAACTTAGTGAGACCCTGTTTCCAAACAAACGAAAAGGGCTGGGGCTGTAACTCAGTGGTAGAGCTCTTGCCTAGCATGTGCCAACCCCAAGTAGTTGATACATACCTTGAGCTTCCAGTGGGCCAGCCACTGACCACATATTTCATATGCACATCTCACTAAATCTCCTCATCTGTCCAACCCATTTGGAGGTAGGTACTATTATTATCCCTATTTTAATAAAAGATGAAAGGTTTATATGATCTGGAGAGAAACCAGAACACTATTATATCCATTTTATGGATGGAAAAAAAAAAAAAAAAAAAAAAGCAGAAATGGGAAGTCGTTTGCCCAAAAACACAGAGAAGGTAAAATTCCTAGGCAGGAAGAGTGATGTTGATTAACTCCCAAGCTAGAGCTCTTAACCATCCAACTTACTAGCTGCTCTTCACCTACCTGTTTCTTTCTTCACAATATTTTTAGGATATTCAAGTGAGAAAAAATATGAATAGCACCTCCATGTTACATTCTTTGGTTAGAAAAGAAAATATAACAAAAATCACATCAGATGTAAGGACACTAAGATGCAAAACCATCAGGCTGGGTTTAAAGAACGGTCTCATTTGACCAGATGCGCTATCCTGGAGGACTTGGTTTTCTCCTTTAGGCAACTACTAAGTTATTTATCACTTTCTTATTTTGAAAGGTGGGATTCATCTTATGTTTATAAATCATTTAGATATTTGTTCCATACTTGAATCGGTGTTTTTATTGATGTATGAAGAGTTAATTTTTAATTAGGTTTAATTTCTTTGGAGTGATATGCTGGGATACAGGAATTAAATTAGTTATAAAGCTCAGTTGAGGTTTTTGACAATTGCTTAAGGGAATGTAGTGTATACTGACAGTAATGACTGAAAACGTACCTTAAAAAATGGAATGCTGCTAAAATAAGCAAAGAATGACTATTCCACATTGAGTTTCTCCTTTGAATTTAGCAATTCTAAACTGATTTTTTTGGACATAAAATTCAAACTGGCTTGTTCTTGTTCCATTTGGACAAAGCAAGGGTGATAATGTTCAACTGTATGATTAAAACAGGTAAAGGCCAATATAAATTGGGAAAATTTGTTCATCACTGGATGAATTAATTTTTTACTTGTTTGTTTAAAAGGCAACTCTATGGGAGATTACAAGACCATGGTTCCAGCTGGAGGATGGCCCCAAGAATGTGTTTTCTGTCTTTTGAATGACTGTATTTTATATTTTATGTTCAATTTGAACTGCAGAAATGTACTTTACCATTCACTATGGAAATACAGATTTCAAAACACACAAACACATGAAATTGGGCTTTGATATGACAGTTGGAACTGGGCCATCTGTTTGAGGATGCCATTTAGGGATAAAGAAATGATTGCATGCATATTCAGATTGTTGATACAAATTGCTTATACATTTGAAATCAGATAAGACTTCAATTCCTGGGATAACTTTGGGTATAACTTTGGAATTGGGTAGCAAACATGATTTTTCATCATTAAATTAAGAATAAGAGGTTATTTAAACCTTAGAAGAATCAGAGGATGCTCTATCCCTACGACTGGGAAAAACCTTTCAAAGCCATCCAAGCCGAGAGTCCCGAACTAAGGCATCATGATACCCAGTGACATCTGTTCAAGGAATGCTTTACTAATGACAAAGAGTCATTGCTTGTGTTTAGGATAGGGTGAAAGTTACCTGTATGATCACATAATTGTAGCTTACTTGCTGGGGTTGAGCCCAGGGCTTTGCACATGTTCAGCAGTGCTTTACCACTGAGTGAGTCCCCCAACCCCTTGATGCATTTCTTAGAATGCAGGAAGGAGAGAAATTACAACTTGAGCTCAAGGAAAATGCCCCATCATCCCAGTTTTCTCAGGTATGTCATCACCCCAGCAAGCCACTACCCTCAGTATCGTACCAACAGTCATGACAACTGCTAACTACCATAGAGCTTGAGTGCTTTGCTGGATAATATACTATATTTCTTTACAGAGTAGCTTTTAATTTTGTCAAACTCTGGTTAAGACCCCATTCAAACAATTGATTATGTATGTTGAGGAAGAAAAGTTGAAAACCGTGCCACGGGTGGTGGTGCATGCCTATAATCCCAGTACTTGAGAGGCTGAGTCAGGAGGATCACCATGAGTTTGAGACCAGCCTGGGCTACATAGTGAGCTCAAGGCCAGCCTTAACTGCATAGTGAGACCCTGTATCAAAAAGATTAAAAAAAAAAAAAAAAAAGAAAGAAAGAAAAGAAAAGTTGAAAACCAAGAGACTAAGAAGAAGAAGACCAATCCAGGGGGCATGTGAGGTACTAGGCAATGCCTACCACTGTAACTAAACCAATTAGAAGGGCAATAAAAATCTGACTCCTAGAAGAAAACCAGAGGAGGAATTTTAAAAAATAGAGTAGAAATTCCTCCTGGATACAGGTACCTGGCTTAGGAGGCAGGCCAGGGAGGTAATCACTGGCTTGTCATGAGCACAAAGTCCATGCTTCTTGCAGCACCCAGCCCTTAGTACCTTGTTTAAGTTGATGTGCAGAGCAGGCCAGGGTCCAGCAGCTTTCACAGTCTCTAGTTCCAGCTTCTTCAGGTGGGCAGCAGCCTCGCTGAACAGAGCAGGTCCTCCTGGACTCAGTTCTACAAAGTGGTCCCAGGGAAATGAATACAGAAAGATTGAAAGGGCAGATAGACACAGGAAATAAGGGGAATTGCCAGCGCCTGACACCCAGCCCATTTTCTGCCTGCCTTTTCCTCCACTAACTTGACAGGGTGTGAGGCTATCTGAGACCAAGACCTAACTCCCCCACCTACAAACTGGGTGGCCCTGGGTAAATTGCTATACTTCTCTGAGCCTCTAAGCCATTTTAATATAAAATAAAATACTTACCTGCAAATATTAAGAGCTGCTGCAAATATTGAGTGAGATTATTCATGTACAAAGGCTTTGAATATGAAATGGTACTGTGTAAACTGGAAAGATTAATGTTCAGGCTAATAGCCACAAAAATATGCCCTTAAAAGCTATGTTATATTTCTAAAATAAAACCCACCAATTTTGATTTTTGTACTGCTTTGGATTAGTTTGCCACCATTCCTTTCTGTAGCTTGCACTGACTCATTGATATGCATTAAATATTAAATATTCATTACATAGTAAAACTTGTGCTAAGTACTGTTTGCAATTGGGATCTGGGGAGCTAAATAAAGAAGCAAATGAGACACAATTCCAGTCTAAAGGGCAGACAGAAGTGCACACAGATATTCCAAATAAAAAGTGATAATAGTTTTAATTGTACAGGAGCAAGAAGGAAAGAACTCCAACTCCTAGAATAGTGGAGAGGTGATCTAGACTGTTTCACTGATAACATTGGAGCTGGCTCCTAAGGGATGTATAGGAGTTCATCCAGCACTTGCAAAGGACAGAACTGGGACCAGCACAGCAGCTGGTGTGAGGACAATAGCTCTGTGTATCTAGAAGGTCCTTAGGGGTGGGGGTACCTGGGGACCATGGCTGCAGCCATAACAATCTGCATGTGGTTACATTCAGAGGCGTGGGCTTTAGCCAGGACAGTGAGGGACTATTGCAGGCTGTAAGGCATCTGGCCAGAGCTTTGTGTGAAAGTTGATTTCAACAGCTTTTAGATGCAGACTACACAGAAGCAGGTGCCCCAGTATGAGGCTGTGAAAATTATTCAGATACCAAAGATGAGGCAGGGACCTGGCAAGGGCAGTGTGGGCAAAGAAGAGCATGTGGAAGTCAGATTCTTTATCAAGTGGGTTATGAGTTCCTGTTCTGGGCTCCACCACCTCAGAATTGCTCCCCAGGCTCTACAGGTGATGGCTGAACAGCTCATCCTATTTGCCAGCACGGAATCATTCAGTGTTGCTGCTGGAGGATTACTTGGTGATTTTTTTTGCTTTTTGCTTTTTTGAGACAAAGTCTCACTCTGTAGTCCAGGCTGGCCCTGAACTCACTATGTAGCTAGCCTAGGCTGGCCTCAAACTCATGGTAATCCTCCTGCCTCAGCCTCCTAAGTGCTGGGATTACAAGCATGTGCCACAACACTCAGCCTACTTGGTGATCACTTTGATGCCCTCTCTCTATCCCATGCATCGATGAAAAAAATCAATGATCAGAGAGGGTACTTGGCTGCACAGCAAGAATGAGCATCAGAGCCACCTTACCCCGACCTCTGCCTCAGTACTTCTCAAATCAAAGACAAAGAACTAGCTTTTTTTCTCCTGGTCAGTCAGAGACAAGTTCTTAGGTAAAATGCAATAAAGGTGAGTTTCTAAAATAAAATCACAAAACCCAAGCCGATATTTTTATTAGACTTAATAGATACAAGGTCACCCAATCTCACTGCTCACAGTGTTTCTGTAGATCGTCTATTCCTGTAACTTCTTACTGGGACCATATCATGGGCCAACCTGATCTACCTGATGTCACCTTCCACTCAGCAGCCAATGTCAGAAAGGAGACAGAATGCGTTTTTCTGTTACTAGGATAGCAGACACTCCAGCCATTAACCTCCCTCCCTCCTTCTCTTTCCCATGGCTTTCTCTTTCCAGAGCTGGGTCCTGTTCAAGCAGAGAGCTGCTGAGAAATGAGGTGGGGATGGAACTGTTACCCTGACGCCGGTGACTTGGAGCTTACTGGCAAGCTGTAATCTCTAGATCGTGCCTGCCATAATGCATCCAGCCCTGTCTGCACCTGCCCAAACCTGGTAACCAGCATGATGGCCCCATCTTTCCAAGCTGCCTGGGGAGAGTCTGCCCTGAGTGCTAGGGAAATGGGTCTCTTCCCAGGGCATCATCCCCACCCCACGCTGCCCCCTCCACCTGACTCACTTGTATGGGACTTGCTGTTGGAGTTCGGGGACCTCAGAGGCCCCTCCTTGTTCTCCAGGGTCAGCGAGAGGCCGTAGTTGGTGTGGTGGTGATGCTGGTGGTGGTGCCTTCCTGAAGCTTTCGGAGGGAATGGTGTGCCCCCGTTCTCCTCGACGCCAAAGGGCAGCCGCTCCGAGGGGCTGAGCACTGGGGAGGGGAGTGGGTAGCTGTGGTGGCAACAAAGTCAGAGTTTAGGAATGCAAAATGTCTTGCTGGTCCTGTGTGCACCATCAAAGATGTCCTCTAAGTGTCTGACACCAAGAAAGACTTAGGTTCAGTAAACGGATCCCTATTTAAAATACGGAATCATGGGCACTCTGTGTGGACGGACAGAAAAGTGACAATTTGAATATATCAGAGATACTTGTACGATAAAGTATCTTAGCTTTGAAATGGAATAATTTGTCCACAGCCATACCACTCTGAATGCGCCTGATCTCATCTGAAATGGAATAATTTCTATCCTTTGAAAGGCATTCTTTAAAAGCCATAAATGGGAGGAAACATTTAAAAAATAAATAATTTTAAGCCATCCCATGGTAAGATCGCATTACAAATGAGAAATTCCTGCCCATTCCAATAAGCAGAAAGCCCCTGTTAACATCACTGCTACACCTTTTCATTCCAGTGGCGTAATGAATATGCTGGTTGTGGCTACAAGGGCGATATGAATTGAGCCTTGTTATGACCATCTCCTCCAGACATGAAGTAGTAGTATCTGTGGGAATGAGGCCAATGCGCAAAGACGGAAAAGATGAGCAGAGGTTAAAGGCAGGTGGAAGAGAAAAATTAGTGGTATCATCTGAGGCCCAGATCTAGCCAAATCTGACGCTAATACTATCACTGAACTATTTTATTTCCTAAGGTTCAGAGAATGCATTGACTGGTTGAGGTAGCTGGATTTCTCCCATATAACCTGCATGCTCTAAATCGGTGTCAGTTTGTTACTGGTTTCTTTGGAGGGTGTAGAATCAGGTAGAAAAGGCAACTAGCTTTCACAGGCTGAAGGCACAGCAGGGGCAAAGGAATGGTGGTTAGAAGGGCAGGGTGCCTGGAAGAGTGGGCACGAAGACAGGCACAGCAGGAGGTGAGAATGAGAAGACCAGCTGGGGCAGGGCACAAAGAGCCAAACGTGCCAGGCTATCATGTGGGCAACAGGGCACCACGGAAGGGTGCCAGCTGCTCTCTGGGATTGTCCCGAAATAGTGTCAGCAGGGTTTGCAGGCCTGTCACTTGGGGACACCGGGAAGAAGGTACCGAGAAGACTGCTGCAGAAGAAAAGGCACTGCTTGTCCCTGCACTGCCTCAAGAGCTGGATCTCTGATCCTCTCTGGCTCCTGGAGACTTTGCTCAAGGAGAGTCTGGTATTGCATGCTTGAGAGCGTGTGTGCATAAAGTGAAAGAAGGATGATTTTGGCTTCTGGGAATACACTCCATCCTCACTTCTCCCTCCCACCTGAGGCATATCCAGGACACCCACCCAGGTGCAGGGGCACTGAGTTGGCTCAGAGACACCTGCACTCCGTCTCAGTCCTGCCTGGCCTTGCACTGAAACCCTAGGCAGTCACACTAGACCTCGCTTCCCTCTCTGGAAAGTGAAGTCAGGGAGGTGTCTGCTGGGAAGATTTCCAGATCTGAGAGTCATCCTTTCTCCCAAATATTTATCTGTCTACGCTTCAGGCTCTACGCTGGCTATTTTACCTAAAATATCCAAGTGTATACCTTTGCTGGATACACAGTAGGTGCTCCATAAGTATTTGAGGAAAGAAGGGAAAAAGGGAGGAAGGAGAGAGGGAAGAGAAGGAGGGAGGAAAGAAGGGAGGGAGGGAGCTGGGATTTGACAGCAGCTCTGTGGACTCCAAAGCCTGTTAATATTATTTCCCTGCCTCTCAAATATATTTAAAAATTAACATTTGACCTGTAGAGGTGCAGAGGCTGGGAGCTCAGAAGAGAGAAAGCGCCTCTCCCTGGGTGGACTGGTGAGGACTCCCAGGGCTCTTTTTCCCCTTCCCTTCTTTCTCACCATGTGAGCCTGTCACAGGTCTGTATGGGCACTGAACTTGTCTAGGCAGGAGGGACAGATCAGAAAAACACCAAGAGGAAGAGAGGGACAGGACAGGGAGAACATGGAGATGGGGAGGGTCAGATAACTGAGTTTTCTGAGCACAGCACAAGGCAAATGTCTATGAAATATCATTAACCGAAAACAGGAGGTGGAGAACGAGCGCTGCCTTGACATGGCTGAGCTGCAGATGGGTTGCGATGAGTGAGAGGGGAAAGATGGCTTGTAGCAGACACCTGGCATTCGCTTGGGGCAGGAAGAGAACTTGGCAAGTTCTGAGTAATAGTTTCAAAAGGATGGCAAATAGACACCACCTCTGATGCCAGCTCCAATTGATCCTTACTCGCTGCCCAGAGTGCAAGATGCAGGAGGATTCTGAGGTGGTGCCTGGCTCAGGGCAGTGATTAATTAGCGATGCCTGGCACAGACTTGGTACTTGTAGTATCATGTGCTTGTCTTTCCAAGTTATAGGCGTGTGATTTTTTTCTTCATTCCCAGGAAACCCACAGCGAAGTCAAACACCAATATGCAGTTACATACATACACACTGTATATATATGTATATTCGTATATACTTTCAGCGAGTAAGACACTGCATTAATAATATGGCAAGTAAAATCTGTGACTTTCGTTTTACAGCTGCTTAAGGGAGAGACTGAGAAAGAGGCAAATGGGAAGAGAAATGAGTGAGGGTCGCAGAAGCTGTCTGAGGTTAGAATCAGGAATTGGGCCAGCTGAGGGGTCCACAGAAAAGCAAAGATTCCCACACAGGTGGTAGAATCGCCTCGGAGTGATCTCAGCTTGTACACACTGGGACCATCATGAAGATTCTAACATGGAGTTTGGAGGGTTGTGGGTCCATTGAGGAAATTTCTCATGGTCTTGCGATAGCTCCCTGTGGATGCCTGAGAGGGCCCTTCACAGAAACTATGATATAAGTGGCTCGAAGAGGTTGTACATCTGCCCTGCTGGCTGCAGCAGAGAAGTTCAAGCCCACCGGAGAAGGTCCAAGAACACAAAGCAGCCCATGAGCCTCAGGGACACTGGCTGTCACCAGAGACTGAAGCTCATGAGGTTTCTGGCTTGCTGGAGAGCAGGTCATCATGGGTGCTGGTTGCAGGGTGGGTGGTGGAGGAGGGCTATGCAGGCTTCACCTTTGCTTCCATAAGGTGATGGGGAGAAGGAAAGCGACATGGAAGATGGGGCTGATATACACTTATCCCTGTGCTAGGCATTTTAATGTTTTATTTTCAAGCTATCCTGCAAGGATACTGCTGCTGACACACTGACATCGGGGCTTAGGGAAGACAGATGAGCAATGGTCCCTATTAGTAAATGCAAAGTGAGAATTAAACCTGGTCTAATGTCTTCTCCTCCCTTTTCTCAGGGGAAGACCTGGCTCTCATTTTGCCTCCAATTTAGGGCCTGTGTGCTAGGGGAGTTCGCTGTCTGTTTTGGGTAGGTGCATCTCTGCAAAACCAGTGGTGTGGCAGGGGCTCTTCCAGCCCTGCTTAATCCCATACACGCTCCAACCAGAGCCTCTCCCCACCCTGACCCTGGGATCTCAGCCAACCCAACACATGTGTTCAAACAAATTGAGCTGCACACTGAGTCATGGTATTTCTAGAATGTGACCAGTTCAGGGCAGGGACAGAGGGAGGGTCACGCTGGAACATAGGGTTCCTCTCAAAAAGAAGGCTGAGTGACCAGGGTCCACTGAGAAGTTATCCATTCCACATCTCAGCTAAGTTCTCGGAGACCTGGGCTTTGGGTGATCTCATCTTGGATAAGAAACCACACCATTTCAGAACTAGAGCCCCACAGATATTCTCCAGTTTAGTGGCTTTAATCTCTGGATGAAATTAAATCACTAGTAAAGCCTCTATATACTGCTGGATGGAATACCAATGGTACAGCCAATGTGGAAAATGGGCTGGCAGTTCCCCCAAAGAATTACACACAGAGTTACTGTATGACCAAGCAATCCCACTCATAGATATAAACCCAAGAGAAATGAAAACATGTCCATGCAAAGACTTGCACATGAATGTTCACAGCAGTACAATTCAAATCACCAAAAGGTAGACAGAACCCCCATGTCTACTAATTGGAGAATGGATAAACAAAATGCTGTATATCCATACAATGGAAAATTACCTAGCCACAAGAAGAAACGAAAACACTATTCCACATGAAAGAAGCCAGACACAAAAGGCCAAGTGTTGCGTGATTCCATTTATATGAAATGTTTAGAAGAGACAGAAAGCAGATCACTGGTTACCTAGGAGGATGGAAGGAAATGAGCAGGGAGTGACTGTGAGTGGTACTGAGCTTCTTTTAGGAGGAATAAAAATGTTTCAAAATTATATTGTCATGGTGTGCACAACTTTGTGAAAATATATAAAAAAGCACTGAATTGGACACTTTAAACTGGTGAATTGCATGATACAGCTTTCTTAATAAGGGTGATTTTTAAAAAACCACCAGGGAAGATTATGAAACAATATCAGCACCCAAGCTCTACACCAGACCAACTGCACAGTCATCTGTGTCTAACTCTGACCCGCGGCCAGGGCTGAGCACTGCCGCCCGGCCCGCCCTCCTCATTGGGCACATGGGGCCACTACGGGGAGCGAGGTGAGCAGGTCACGCAGCTGGGAGCGGGCTGAGCCCGGGACGCAATCCAGGACTCCCACCTCTCCGCTCGCTGCCCCAAGTGCTGCCCATCTGCTGCATCTTCCCATCTGTCTCGGCTTCTATTTAAGGCAGCCAATGTGCTCAGCAGGAAAATCCAAGTCCTCCTCAGAACCCACTGGGTGAGACATCCTTGAGAATGCATCTTGATTCTCAACCGCACAGTAAGCCCTGTGGGAACAGAGACTGTTACATCACATGCTTCTGTGTCCTCCACCGTAAGAAAAGTCCTAAGCACACAGCAGGTGCTCAGCTAATACAGGTCAGACTGGGAAGAGAATGAAGTCTCAGTGCATTGGATACGCAGGTGCCAGTTCTTGCACCAGGCACTGTATCCAGCTTGAGGTAAGGACAGAGGAGACTTGGTCTCTGCCTGAAGGAGCTCACTGCTCTCCGATGTGGGTAATCAGG